CTAAATTCTTTTCTTTTACGGACATTTATGGCGTGTATAGTAGACGGCCATAAAAAGAAAAGGAGGAGAAAATATGTTCTCTCGATTAAAAATTACTTTTGTTGAAGTGATAACATTGTGATTCCCAAAAAAAAAACATTGTGATGTACCATTATAATGATTCGTTACGTTAGAGATCCTGAAATGTTGTATTTACAAACCAAAAAAAAAAAAGAATTCTTTAAACACTTACTAATATGGATTGTAAGAACTTTATAAAATTTTCCGTAATTTGTCATCCGTTATATATGAAAAAATCTTCATGTAAATAGATATATGTAGAAGTACGCTATGATGATCCAGAAAAACGTGTGATTTCTGAGCCTATTGAAATGACCCAAGAAGCATCTAATTTGATCTTATCTATTGAAGCAGTTGTGAAATTTTTTTTGTTTCCATAAAGAAATGACATGATGTTTCCTACTTTCATTTGATTCATTCAAGAACTTCTAAAGTAATGCGAGTGAGGCTTATCGATTCTAAGGCCCAAAATAAAGAGACTGAGCCCAAATTTTAGTTTGGATCTAATTGATGTAGTAATAAAAAAAAGGAAAAATTACTTAAATACACAACACTTCTTTTTATATTCTCAATATTTCCCTACTCTTTTACTAAAATACAAAAATCCCTTCTTTTCCCCCAATTCAACTTAACCGGATACTTTATTAGTTTAAGTATCCGCCCGTTATTGATTAAAGTATCCGCGCTGCTATATTATGCATCCGCCCGTTAATTAAGTATCTGTGTTGCTAACAACTTAATAATTTAAGTATCCGCCCGTTATTAATTAAAGTATCCGCGCTGCTATATTATGCATCCGCCCGTTAATTAAGTATTCGTGCTGCTAACAACTTAATAATTTAAGTATCCGCCCGTTATTAATTAAAGTATCCGCGCTGCTATATTAAGTATCACACTGGTATATTATGTATCCGAAAAACACTAAAAAAAGGGATTTTTGGTAATTAATGAAAGAGTAGGGAAAGGAAGTAATTTCTTTCTTATACTATGTCATTTGCCTAATTTTTACATTAAAAAAAGTATAAATTATAGGAACCACATATTATAAGTACTAAATAACATCCTATCCCTTCTAATTTTCTATTTACCAAAAATCCCTTAAAAATGATGTTTGAGGGATACATAGCGTTGTGCACGGGATACATTAGGTTTGATACATTCCACATAGCGGGATACATAGCGTTGTGCACGGGATACATAGCGTTTGATACATTCCACATAGCGGAATACATAGCGTTGTGCACGGGATACATGCGGGATACATAGGTAAATAAGGGATTTTTGAATTTTTTTTAAATAAGTAGGGATAAATGGATATTAAGGTAAGTAAAGGAGTGTAGTTAAGTAATTTGTCCTAAAAAAAATGAAGGGCAAACCATACGAATTTCATTAGTTTAGTAGCTAATTATCTCTCTTTTCCCGAGTTTGCTATGTTATGAATCCTAACATAATTAGCATCTCGGATACATGTATCCGAGATACATGTTAACCAGATACGTATAACTAAGGGTCGTTTGGTAGAGTGTATAAGAATAATGCTAAATAGAGTGTATTAATAATGTTTGCATTAGTAATGCATGCATTAGTTATGCTTGCATTAATTATACATAGATTATTTAATGCATTAAAAATAGTATGTATTGCATTAAAAAAATTATTTACAAAGATACCCTCCACTTTTATGGTGGAAAAGATGTAAAAAAGCTTTTGAGGGACAATTGGGTCTTTTATCATGTTAATGCAAGCATTAAAATCATTACATTGCTAATACCTAGAAATTCATGGTATTAGTAATGCACACCTTAATACACAATAGAGTGTATACATAGGTTGAAAAAGAGTACCAAACAAGGTATTAGTAATACACAAGGCTAATACATGCATTATTTTTTCTAATACACTCTACCAAACGATCCAACTGTATCTAAATAAGGGATATAACTGAAAGACATAAATTAATGAGGAAATCACATGTGTAAGTACAACTTTAGAGTATCTAATATATCACAACTCCTAAAGAAATTCAATTCAATCGAATTTTTTTTAATATCAGTGTGTTTGTTGAGAAATTTCGATACAATGGCCAATATCAAATACAACTCATACATATACATTCCAGTTACAAGAATCATGTATCTGGTATATAACGATAGATACATATAGATATTCAAATAAACAACCAAAGTTACTATTTTCTTATATTCATAAACTCTTACTCATACACATGTATATTCCCAGGCCCAACTTTTCATGAATAAATTATTTTTTATTTCTCTATCTCTTTCTTTTGTTTTTTCACACGATATTCCATATCCTCATTGAGAATTGAAATATGATTTTTTTTTTTCCAACTTAAATTGTGATATTTGATATGAAGAAATCGTTCCATGTGAGAATTATTTATACATATAAATGTTGCTCCAAAAAAATGAAATAGATCAATAGGAAAATTAAAAAGGGAGATCAAATTATAGACCCACCCATAACCATATAATTCTGATTTTTTTAATTATTATTATTAGAAAGGCTTGCAACTGCCCCACCTAGTAGAACTCGTAATCCGCTCCATCCTGCGCACATACTGCATCATCATCATTCTATTGATTGCTAATTTTTCAATAAAAATTCATCTAAATTATTTCAATTGATATTTGAATGACGATAAATTCAATCTAGATCATAAAGTTTAATTTTTCAAAAAGACATTATCAAGATCTGAAGTGAAGGTTGAGAATTTACAAATTAAAATTTTTAAAGGTGTTGTTAAACCAAATAGGCGTTATCGCAAAAACTTTTAAGCTTGTGTGGAAGCTAAGATTAAAATTTAAGTTCATTTGAATAAATTTGGTGTGCTTTGACTTGCTAATTTTATATTTGTATATATAATATGTATATCCATATATCTCATGTATATGATGCACATCTTATATTCATGAGTTAAATAGTAATAACTAGTTATTTTTTTTATATAATCATTTCACATGGTATATATAATCTTTTCACGAGTATGATTCTCTCTTTTTTTGTAAAATTTATAATGATGGATTTTTTTTGTTACAAATATAAATTTATGAGTCAAATATTTATTTTTGAAAAATTTAAAATATGAAATCATGATTTGAAATAATTTCAAATCACATGTTCAAACGTTGAAATTACATTTTCAAACGTATGCTTAATATCAATCTAATTTTATATTATGATTTCATAACAAATGTTGAAATAGGCTCTTAAAATACATGTGTAGATAAACCCATGTCATGTGCATTGTTAATCAACCATTGACCCTGTGACTAGGAAATAAGGTGAGAACGGGAATAAATTGCAGAATATTACATACTCCCAAGGCTAAATTTCAAGTATTTTATATAAATTATATTTAAAATAACTTAATACATATCTAAATCTAAAAGAATATAAAGTTCAATAATAGAATTAGGCGAATATTCACACTGAATTAGTACTATTTTAGTGAGACAAATGAAAGTCTGGTGGAAGGTTCCTTCTCACTTTCCTCCTTTGTTTTTTCAAAAAAGAAATAAAACAATTTTGACAAAATCATACTATCTTGATTTTTATTCGAACGATAGAGAAGATAAGATCCCATTAATTTATTTACATGACGTGTATATATATATTAATTTAATACTTCCTTCATTTCATATAGATCATTTTATTAAAAATAATTATCACATATTAGTTGTTCACGCTACTAAATCAAGAAAATATTACATTAATTCTTGTTGAAAGTGTCCACGTTTATTTATAAAATTTCTAATTTTTTAAATAGTCACTTAACTATAGAAGTAGGTCTAAAATGATCCCTTAACTATACACTTAATGGATTTAGTCATTTAACTATTTAGAAACTTATCAACTTTGGTTCCTTAACTAACAATTACCGATTTTAGTCCCTTAACTATAAACTTACCGATTTTAGTCCTTTAAATATTCAAAAACTTATCAAGTTTGGTCTTTGTTCCTTTTTTAAATACAAATAGCTTAGGTTTATATAACGGAAATCTTCGTGAAATTAAATCTTTAACCATTTTAAATTTGTTTCTCTATCCCGCCCTTTTTTCTTCAAACTACTCTTATGAAAAGAACAATAACGTCAACGATTCAAAATAAAATTAATGAGGGAAGAAGATATAAGTCCTAATTTTATTCTATGAGGATAAAATTAAGCATATAATTGTTGTTAATGACGTGAATCCGCACTTGAATATGCTAATCACTGCGGATTTTATTTAATTTACTCAAATTTCTTTACGTAAAATAAAATGAATAGAATAATAAAATTGATCTATTTAAAAATAAATAAAAAATACAAATATATCATTTTATAAATTTCAATTTCTGAAAAATTGAACAAATTTCATTCAATGAAATCGTTGGAGTACAAACTTTGAATTTAACGGGTAATAATTTTTTTCTTTTTATAATAAAGTTTAGCATATTCAAGTCATTAGTAACAATAATATGCTTCATTTTATCCTCCGTTGAATAAAATTACGACTTATATTTTCTTTTCTCGTGAATTTTATTTTAAATCGTTGAGGTTTAGTTTGAAGAAAAAGTAGTGGAGAGAGAGAAACAATAGAAAAAATTGCTAAAGGATTTAATTTCTCGTGGCATGTATTTCATTAATATAAACCTAAGCTATTTGTATTTAAAAAAATGTACAAAGACCAAACTTGATAAGTTTTTGAATACTTAAAGGACTAACATCGGTAAGTTTATAGTTAAGAGACTAAAACTGGTAAGTGAATAGTTAAGGGACCAAAGTTGATAAATTTTTGAATAATTAAAAGACTAAATCCGTTAAATATATAATTAAAGAATCATTTTAGACCTACTCATATAGTTAAGAGATTATTTATGCCATTTTCTGTAATTTAATATGTAACCTCGGGTAAAGTGAGTAACCCAACTGGCTAAGTTAAGCTCTATAAGTTGACTCACCATTCTTGTTTTGCTCATTCTAGGTTTCTCCTAAAACCTAAAACTTTTCAAATTTTCCGGTCTAGATTCTTTGGTAAGTTTCAGAATTCATCTTATTTTTTGTGTTTTTTAAGATAATATGAACATGATCGAGGTGCCCTATTGTTGATATCAAGTTTTATTGTACAAGATTTGAGCTTTGATCACTTTATTGATGTTCTTGTTTGTACTTTTCTATTTGTGGGGTTTCTTCATTTTTTTGCTGAGTTTTGGGAAAATTTGTATGAGCTGAGGAATAATGATACTGGGTTGACCTTCCTTTTTTTTTATCTGTTTGAGGTAAAAATCTGTTTGAGGTAAAAAGGATAAAAAAGATCATCTATTTTTGTTGACCCAGGTGACGTGATAGTAGAAAGATTCAATTTTTAGGGGTAATCTGAAATTTTGATTTCTGTAAGGTTTTGTATTTCTGCTTTGCGTATAGTTTATTGATGCGGGTAGGATGATTTTAAGATGATGATGATGATATCATTGGACTTTGTCTCTAAGGATAATGCTTGATGATTGAAGTGAGATAGTTATGTTTTTGTTACCTTTTCTTTGAATACTTGAAGAAAATTGTTTTGGTAAATACGGAGGGTCCATATTGAAGTGAGATAGTTATGTTTTTGTTACCTTTTCTTTGAATACTTGAAGAAAATTGTTTTGGTAAATACGGAGGGTCCATCGGAAACAACCTTTCTACCTGCGCAAGGCAGGGGTAGGGTAAGGTCTGCATATATACCGCCCTCCTCCATATCTAACTTGTGAGATAACACTGGGTATGTTGTTTCTGTATTTGTGTCATTGCAGATTATCTTTTTCTCGTTCAAGTTTATGTCAATTACGTCTACTAAGAGCTTCAATTTTGTCTAATAAAGTTTTGATATCTCTGTCCCACATGCCCCATCCTTGGTAGGGTTCTTTGGGTGGACGTAGCATATATATGTTATCTACTTCTTTGGATTTCTTCAGCTATCTAGAAGTGGTTGGGTTGGGAAGTGGAGCTGTCTATTTCTTTGTTTTTTGTTCTCTGTAGTGTACCAGTTTTTGTGGAATTTGTGTCATGGGTCGCTATAAATTTGTTTAAAATGTTCTAACCTGAGCTTGTTGCAAGAAATTGAACATGTAAAGAGAGACAGTTGCTTAAGTTAATGTATTGTTATCCTAACTTAAGTGTTAGGTTCTTAAATGACAAAGGAGAGTGTGTACCAATGGAATATTAATTGACCTGTTGTCATGTACTATGCAGTGCCAAGCATGGGTACTGGATATGGAGCCTGTTTAGCTGCACTGTGTTTGTTGCTTTTTTTATCCCCTTTGGTGTTTTCGGTATCAAATGATGGACTGGTCAGAGTTGGAATTAAGAAGAGGAAGTTGGATCAGACCAACCAAGTTTTTGGGGGCATTGATTCTAATGGAGTGCATTCTGCAAGAAAGTACCGTCTTGGTGGAAATGTAGGAGATTCAGACACTGATATTATTGCACTAAAGAACTACTTGGATGCTCAGTACTTTGGTGAGATTAGCATTGGCTCACCACCTCAAAAGTTCACTGTCATCTTTGATACTGGAAGTTCTAATCTTTGGGTGCCCTCCGCAAAATGTCATTTTTCAGTGAGTAGCTATATACTGTTGTTAATACTGATGCAAATACATGTAGCTGTGTCTTAACGACGAAACCTTATGTTAATTTAATCTGATGCAGCTTGCTTGTTATCTCCACCCGAAATACAAGTCAGGTCACTCCAGTACCTACAAAAAGAATGGTAATAGATGCTACTCATGTTTCTAGTTTTTTTCACGTTCTCTTTACTTCAATTAGAGTCCAACCTGTGATTTTTGTTTATTTGTTGGAGTATATGTACTTTTTCGTTGATTGGGTGTGTGCTGTGAATTGTGATTTCTTTTTATTCAATGAAGGACAGACTGATAGCAACAAGTCATCTATTATATAGTTAAATGACCTGATGAATAACAACTCCGTCAGGCTGAGGTTGCAGTAAAATAATTTCACTTGGAAATATTTGGAACTTTAATCTCAAAGAACAGATAAAGATCAAAATGGATTAATGTAGATGGTCATCTTCATTGCATGTTCACAAAATTGATGTGCATATATTTTATTTATGATTAACTGCATGACATAGCATGCCAAATTTATTAGAAGAAGTCTATTAATCTTAAATGCTTTTTTAGCATTGCTTAGACACTACTAAAGTTAATCTGTTCCACCCTATCTTCGAAAAAATGAGAGGAGCTTGACAGTCGCAATAAACCATGAAAGCTGATGATTGAGTGTCTTCCATGTCTCCAGTGGTGAACATGTCCTCCTTTTATGGTAATATGTGTCAAATGATGAAAAGCCATTAAATATTGCGAAAAAGTCAAGATGCTTGCCATGTGACATGCCCTGATATGGTTAAATACAGAATATCAATGTTATATAGGCGGAAGGTAGTCTATTAGGACAAAGCTCTGTCATTGTTGAGATCTATAGACAGAATAAGAAGCCCTGCCTAGTTTGCCATTTATTCTTGTGAAATTTTCCTGCACATGGAAATAGTTTGCCAAATATCAACCAATTCATTCTTGATGCAGGGACATCTGCTGCAATCCACTATGGAACTGGATCTATTTCTGGATATTTTAGCAATGACAATGTCAAAGTTGGCGATCTTGTTGTCAAAGATCAAGTAATTATTGAATTGAAGTGTTTTGGATAGGCTCTGTCAGTTTCTTTCTTAACTTTTTTTTTTTTTTGGGGAATAGGACTTTATTGAGGCAACTCGAGAACCAGGCATCACCTTTTTGGCAGCCAAATTTGATGGTATTCTTGGACTTGGATTTCAAGAGATATCTGTAGGGAAAGCTGTCCCTGTCTGGTATGCTATCCATATTTATATGTTAAAAAATTAGTATAGTTTCAAGGTGATTTCCTTGGATTTCAATAATGAATTTTGTAGATTTCTTACTTGTGTGTTTTATTTCATGGAATTTACTTATTTTAATCTGTTATGTTCTTCTAAATTATTTTCTTGCTTGAATCAACAAGTCTTGAGACATCTATAATTTTCTTAGGTACAATATGGTAAATCAAGGTCTTGTAAAACAATCTGTCTTCTCATTCTGGTTCAATCGGAATGCTGAAGAGGAGGAAGGAGGTGAACTTGTTTTCGGTGGAGTTGATCCCAAACATTTCAAGGGTGAACATACATATGTTCCTGTAACTCACAAAGGCTACTGGCAGGTGGATTTTCTATTAAAATTCTAAAATTGAATCTGCACCTATGCTGTATACTTTTGTTTGGACTGATTAAAGTATGTCGTATTTTCAGTTTGATATGGGTGACGTGCTTGTCGATGGTGAAACAACTGGTATTATTTTTTGATATATTGTTTGTGATGTTGCATGTGAAAATTAATGATTCTGAATTTTCAAGCTATTTTTCTTCATGTAGCTCGTGAAGCTAATTTTCTTTTTTTTCCCCCCAGGATTTTGTTCTGGTGGTTGTTCAGCAATTGCAGACTCTGGAACATCCTTATTGGCAGGACCAACAGTATGTATCTTACTTGACAGCAATACAATCAATAAGAGCCAGAACCACAATTATATTTATATTGTCTTCTCATCAAATTTTGAGCAGATAACACTTACACAGAACTGCAACATTTTGTTGATAAGCAAACTGCAAACTTTTAGTTATTCATGGATTTTCTTTTAAAAACTGAACTTGCAGATTTTGTTGTGTATAAACCTGTCTTAATATTTTCTTCGTTTTCTGACTGCTTCTATTAGAATTGTCAATGACTAGTAATCTTTCCTCGAATTTCTGTTTTTGAAAGAAATATTTCTCAAATTTCTTTGGACTTTCCCCAAAAGGTGGTCTAACCAGTAACAGAGTTGAACATTACAAATAAGGAATGGTTTTCTACATCTAATATAATCCTAGAATGTCTGATTGGCAAGCACTTCTTCACCAGATGAAGAATTCCAGAGGTTAGGGGACTTGTGACCTGATCACGTACATTAAGTTTTTGGACATTTATGTAGATCTCGTTATTCATAACAATGGAATAGGTGTTTTGGGGCCATGTGACTTCTTATTCAGCTGCTACTCCATGATGTTCAGTTTAATCATTGAGTTCTTGATGCATGTTTGTTTCTTGCTTATGGTAATAAAGTCTCACCAACAACATGCATCAGAATTAACTAATTTTCTTCATTCATATATTCTTTTTTCAGACCATTATTACTCAAATTAATCATGCTATTGGAGCGTCAGGAGTCGTCAGCCAGGAGTGCAAGTCAGTAGTCAGTGAATATGGAAAAACTATACTGGATCTACTCGAATCAAAGGTATGACATCTGCTAAGTATCTTTCCTATAATTATTCTAGAGAATTTATTTGGCACTATTTGCACCCAAACAGTGTTATACACACAGGATTTTGCACATATAGTGGAGCCTATTGCCACTGATTTGGCTTGTGCAAGGGTTTAGATCTGGGGATGTGGGGTTCTAACGCTACTTATGTCTCAAACTGCTATTTTACTTTGTATTATTTTCAAGCTTTGTTGACTTATTACATATAAGCACACACACATTGAAAATTATGGATGAGCACACACACATTGAAAATTATGGATGAGCACACATCACATTGAAAATTATGGATGACACCTCTTGCTACAAGGTGTCTCCTCCACTGCATCTGAGTGTCTTCACTGACACCTTACTGTGTCAAGGTACTAATTATGAGCAGCTTACTGCATTTGATATTAGAATCTGAGTCTGGTTTTCCCGCCTATGCTTACAGGCAGCGCCTCAGCAGATCTGCTCCCAAATCGGTTTATGCTCCAAAGATGGTGGACGAGATGTTAGGTGAGGTTAAATATATCTGCATATTCAACATTTTGCATTTGAAATGATTATAATTAGAGAAACGATTAAATATACACATGCCATAAGACTGGTATCTCATCAGTGTTATCAATCATCTTACTCTAGTGATTACCGTTAGCGAAAAAATGAACAATTTATTGTCGCATGAAGTTGCTGCAGGTTCTACTTGCTGTTTATTTGGACACATTCATCATTTTTATTGCTGTATGTCTAGAGTCTGGACCAATTATTAATGTTTAATTCTATATGCAGCATGATTATTGAGAGTGTGGTGGACAAACACAATGAGGCTTCGAATGGCGTGCATGATGAGATGTGCAGGGTTTGTGAGATGGCTGTGGTGTGGATGCAAAACCAAATAAGGCGAAATGAAACTGCAGATAGAATCTTTGACTATATGAATAAGGTGAGGTAGATTTTATACATAATGTAAAGTGAATGTCAGTTAATTGAGATCTCAAGGTTTATTCAAATCTCAACTGCAGCTTTGCGACCGATTGCCCAGTCCAATGGGAGAATCTGCAGTTAATTGCAACAGCCTTGCTTCCATGCCTAATGTTTCCTTTACCGTTGGTGATAAAACATTTGAGCTGACGCCGCAGCAGGTAATTTTTATCTGATCTACTGATGTACTTCATCTCATTTAAGATATTGCTTCAGAGAACACGTGTCGAATAGGCAAATCCATATCCAGCCAATTCTTTTCAAGAAAAAAGGGGAATTCTAGACTACCTTGTTTTGTCTATTTTTTAACCAAGTGATGCTTTTTGGAGATTGATTTAACAATTTAACACTAGAATGAAGGATCTTTACGGTCTTTGTTTTCCCCAAAACAGGTCCCGAAATAGTAGTCTTCGAAAAATATATAGCATGAACCAATCACATTGGCAAAATGCAAATATGCTGATATCTATAGTACTTGACACTATTTTTTGTGGTTGTTACTGTACAGTATGTCCTTAAAGTTGGTGAGGCTCCTGTTACGCAGTGCATAAGTGGATTCACAGCATTAGATGTGCCGCCTCCTCGTGGACCCCTTTGGTATGCCTCTCTACTTTTTGTTCTGCACTCCCACTATTCACTAGTATGTTTTATTGAGGCCACAATAATGAGCTTCTATGAATCACCTCAATGAAAATTATTACTCCCTCCAGTCCAGATTTTGTGACTTTATTTTACTTTCAGTATGACCTCTTTCCAATTTTGGAAATAATTTAACTTAAATTTCCCATCTTATCCTTCGATGACAAGCTTGTCTAGCCACACAAATGTTATGACAATGTTTAATACCACAAGTTTCAAATGTTGTTTAGCAACACAAATGTTATACCATGTTTAACATTATAAGTCTCAGAATTCTCTTTCTTAAACACCATGCCCAGTCAAATAGATTCACATAAATTAGAAGTGTTCTTTATATGTAGGTTTCATAAACCAAAAAACGTAGAAAACTATCAATTTCTTTGATGATATTTATTCTGATAGTGAATTGACCTTAACTTGTTTCGACATATTCTGAGAACTAAATATCCATTTTGTCGATAGTTGTGTGTTCAGATTTCACTGTAACATTTGTACAAGTACTCTTCTTTTGAAGTTCTGCTCTGCAAAGTCTTTCTAAACTATTCAATGCTAAGCTTCTATGTAATATTCAAACATGAAACTGAGCAAGAGAAATCCGCTCAAGGGCAATCCATGCATCCCTTACACTTCGTGTTGTTTGTTGAGCGTGCACTAGAAATTTGACTATAATTTATATGATGTTATTCATTTGTTACAGGATCTTGGGAGATGTTTTCATGGGTCGCTACCACACAGTGTTTGATTCCGAGAAAATGAGAGTTGGGTTCGCGGAAGCAGCTTAAATGCCTCTGTTTATTTCTGTGTTATGCCCTCTAAGTATCACGTTGTCTTTTGAACGAGAAAATTGTCTGCGCGTGTAAATAAATAACTGATGCTTGAATCTGTTTGCTGGTTTTTTTAAAACAGCTACTGTGTAATGACAGATTAATTGCTCGTCTTTCGTAATTTCTGGCTAATTTGTAATGCTAATTATGCAACGGTTTGTTTTATGCCACAGCAAAATTACTCATCTTTTAAGGACTATATATTCATGAAAGAACATGTCTATTTGAAAGAACATTTCTGTTTTGAAAAGTTATTGTATGCGAGGTAAATTTTTTAATTCATATTTTATGATAATATTAATCTAATCAAGTAATTTAATCATAACCGTCAAAAAGTAAAATATTACTAGTAGTCACTAATAATTGATAGAGCCAAGATTAAAATAGAAATAAAAGTTGGTTAACTTTCACTTCACTACTAAATTAAAGAGGTAGATTATTTTGTTTGTTGAGTGAAAATTGCAGTTTTGGTGAAATTAGTTGCAACTTCTTTCACTTGTCGTTGAAAAGGCATTATATAAAGTTCTAAACTTCTTCTTCAAACCAACTCCATTTGTTTGACGTCGACTTTCATTACCTTCACGAGGTAGGAACAAGGTTACATATATGTCATTTTTTTCAGACTTTACTTATAAAATTACGCTAAATATATTATTGATTTATTTGTTCAAAGTTGAAAAAGAAAACTTTATTTTACGAAACCTCAAAAGGTTTATACTTTTTATTATTGGAAAAAAAGTTGCTCCACCACCATTTGCAAAATGTGACTAATGGAACAAAAGGACAAAGAAATAATGTTAAAATTAAAGATGATGACCTTCCGTGTGCAAAGATATTTTCAAATGATTGTTTCCAAAACCATAAACTCTTTTCTATAAATGACAGTTTAACAATATAGTTAATTAATATATTGCTTTTTTTGGAGAAGTTTTTTACATTTGAAAAACAGAAAGTAAATAAATATTCAAACGCTAAAAAAAACTTAAGAGTCCTCTATACATAATAAGCAAAAGGAAAAAAGAAACAACCTACTCATTAATCCCCCCAAACTAGTCCAAATTTGATCATTAAACAAGTGTTTGCGCACGAAATTAAAATATACTTCTAATTGAAAATTTCTTAAATAATGTGTCAGGTCAACGTCAAGGATCAAATTATTATGAACGGAGAAAGTAATACTCTCTCTCAAAAAAATAAACACTCTTTCTCTTTTTAGCAACTCTTTAATTTCAATTTTCTACATAGCTTGTTTAAGACCATAAAATTAATGGTGTCTAAACAATGGTGTCTTAAATTTTAAAATCTCTTTATCATCTTAAATTTTGTACCAATTCAAATTAGTTCAAACAAATTGAAATAGAGCGATAAGTATTCCTTCATCCTTAATTAGAGATCTCGGATTGTATGGAGTGATAAGTATTCCTTCATCCTTAATTAGAGATTCTGGATTTGAGTCCCCTGGGTACAGTCTACAGAGTTTCCTTTGATAGGAAACGCTTTACCCCCAATATAAAATTTTTCGACATAAATTCAAATTTGATCGAGCATCAATATGAATATCCAACATTAGATCGAAAAACACCAAAGAAAACCTCACGTGTGTACTGCTGAGACTTACTAGCTGTCCCACCACAGAGACAGACAGCTTCTTGCTAATTCCAAACTTATAGGAATACGTAAAGTTCACCACAGTCTGCCCAATAACTCTACTACACTTGGCATCAGCTTTAATATAACATCAATTTCTTTCTCCATTTGGGTAACTTTATAAAACGTGAACAGCTAAGATAATTTAACTTCTTATACTCCCTCCGTTCACAATTGTTTGGCAGGTATACTAAAAATAGATGTCCAAGATTAATTGTCAATTTAAACAATCAAGAAATAATTAATCATTTTTTTCCAATTATGCCCTTAATGATAGTGTAGCTCAATTGAAAAGTTATATAGACTTTTGGTATTCTTGGTATAGTAGGATTATATTAGTCAAATTACACCTTGTATTAAATTTTCCTTGAGGGGTGTGCATGACCTTACCTTGACAAATAATTGTGGACGGAGGAAGTATTTCTCAACTGGATAATAGTATTCTCTCCGTTTTAAATTATTTATCTAGTTTTAATTGATATGAAATATAAAACTAAAGAAAAATTTTAAATTTTAAATTAAAGATATGTAAAATCAGAAATGTATCAAAATTTTCTTTAATCTTTATAGTCTTAACTCTTAAATATGTTATATGAAATATTAAAAATTAAAAATTGTCAATTTTTGTTTTTTTTAAATGGACTAAAAAAGAAAGTAAAACAAATTGAATCGAAAAAAATAATAGTAGTTGACACCTTTCAGTATTTACGGTTGGTAAATGGCAGGTGCCATGGGAATCAAGTGATGGGTGTTATCTCAAAGTATTGGTAAACTTAATCCACAAAAATATGAATGGGTCGGTTCAAGTTTGAACGGATAAACGATTTGACCCATTTTAAGTTGTCGATTTTTCACCTTATCTATACGGCTCAAATTGATTTATGAAATATCTTGTTAAAAACTTTTTAAAATTAATTTATTTTAGGGGTGATATAATGATATATATGTAGTCTAATATATTAGTTTTGTTTCATAGTCAAACAAATTGCTATGAGAAGTAAAAAATTAAATAGAGAAATTTGAATTTGGTACAAGTTAAATGAATGAGCTATGATCTCTTATTTAACTCATCTTAGATTTGACACATTTCAATCCAAATAATTTTAATAATATATTTTAATCCGTTCAAATTTATCCCACCCCGCCATCTAAGTTGGATGTCACTTAAATGTAAATTTTAGAGCCAATAGGTGATCCATAATTTCAAAACTTGAAAAGTGTAAAGTGGTAAGAGTTTAATTTCATTTCTTATTAAAAAGGACCAAGAAACGGTCACTTGAAATCATATCCACATACATGTTTATTGCGTCTTTCTCCGTCTACTTTTTTATCTTAGGTTTTATCTCCTTTTCTTTTCTAATGTATAAATTCCTTAAACCACTAAATTTTTAAAGTTTATTTCAATCTTCTTTTATCTGTAGTAGTCACTATCTTCAAGTGATCATTATCCTTATTTTCTTACTGATTGCAAAGATTTCAGCATTATTTCATTAATATTCTACGCAAAATAAAATCATTATAATATGAAACTCAATATTGTTACTTAGCTTATACGGTCATGTGGTGTTAAGGATTAGAAAAAGGGAAAAATATATAATTAGATATACTTTATTATCATACATATTATTATTATATAGACTTTCAAAATATTACGTATGTTATCACTAATTAAGAGTTTCTTAGGTGACGAGAGGGAGTTGCTCAGATGGTAAGCACTCCTCACTTCCAACCCAAAGGTTGCGAGTTCGAGTCACCAAGGGAGGGAGCAAAAGGGGTGGGAGCTCCTAGGGAGAGTAAAAAAAAAAACAAAAGTTTCTTAGGTGTGTGTATATATATATATTTTCTACCAGATACACAAAAATAGGGAGAGAGGAGAGCAAGATTGGTTTGTAGCCCAGATACATGCGAATCACACTAGATACATGTATTTGCATGTATCTAAAGCGACTCCCATGTATTTAGAATATCAGATACATGAGAGAGTGACAAGCGGATCCACATTGTAAAATATAGTGTATTTAATTAATAAGTTCCTAAACTAGTGAGATTTATATAAAGACGCCTAAAAAAATTGTTACCCTTATGAATAAAAAGTAGATTTCATGTTATCCAACTCTAGATTAATGGATCTGTACACTGTTAATAGTACAAAATTAGAGCAAGAGACATCGATCTGAGTTATTCATTGCTCCTTCTAACTGTTATCCATCTGTGATCATCATTCCATCTCCAATTCAATTCTCTTGAATTCGAACCCAATTCTCTTACCCTTTGCACAGCAGAGCTAACTGTTTGTAATATCGTTGTTTCTGATTCATCTACTGAATTCCATATGTCTTGATCAAGAATGCTTGTTGGCGAGCTTGTAACAAAATCTTGAATTGCCGTAGAATTCGACTCAAGAAATGGATGTTTGAGGAGTTGTTTAGCTGTCCATCTTTCTTTTGCATCTCTTATCAAGCATTTGCTTAAGAAATCCCTTGCTTGTAAAGAGAGGAATTTAGGAATTTCAGGGGATTGCCCAGAAAATGCAATTTTGTAAAGTAATGAAGCTGCGTTTGTCACATTAGTCCATGGCGATCCACCAGTGGCCATTTCAATAATTGTACATCCCAATCCCCAAATATCAGCTGAACACCCATGTTTTTCCCCACGCGCCACCTCCGGTGCCATGAACATCGGCGTTCCTCCCATTGATTTAGCATCACCGCCCCTGTCTGCCGGATCAATCCACATGGCACAACCAAAATCGGCAATTTTGGCACCCGTTTTACCCAACAAAATGTTTTGCCCCTTTATGTCACAGTGTGCTATGCCCCTTGAATGTACGTACTCTAGTCCTTGAACAATTTGCTTCGTATAATACCCAATCAACGGCTCGTTAATCCGACCACCCTGTTTCCGATTTTCATCGATAAGTGTACCGTCCGGCATATACTCCATCATAAGATTAAACATGAGTTTGTCCTTCTCTTTTGTAACATCATACCCCTTGTAGCTAACTATATAAGGGGAGCTCAATTCGGACAAAGTTTTCTGCTCCTTTTGCAATAACTGTGACTTGGATAGCTCCACTGACTTAACAGCAAAAACTTCACCTGAGAATCGTGATTTGGCGGCCGAGACGGCAGCAGTGGAGCCGTGGCCTATTATATGCCCTCTCGTCCAATCCATTTATGAATAAGAAGAAGATTGGTAGGAAGTGTAAGAATATTAGAAAATGCTCTGTTTTTGGTTTGTTTTGGAGCTACAATGGAGGAATATATTATGTATATATATAATAAGGTGTAATTTCTACAAATTCCAAATTAGTTGAGTAGAGCTTAGGTGGCCACTTTTTTTTTTCCTTTACTCCATAGAGTTTGAAAATTGATTTAACGGGATTTACAACGTGGCTAAATGGTTATGGCCATGAGGCAGCATCAGTAAACCGAAGGTGTAGTGGTAAAGTCAGTAATTTTGTTACGAATATCTAATATTCAATATGTGTATGTATGAAAAATAAATTTTGATCAAAATATTTCGTACAATATTTCATATATAGTAATATATATAAAATATGGTGAATGTCGAGAAATTCCAAATTAGTTGGGTAGAGCTTAGGTGGCCTCTTTTTTTCCTTTTACTCCATAGAGTTTGAAAATTGGTTTAACGGGATTTACAACGTGGCCAAATGGTTATGGCTATCCGATAGCTTGCGTAAACTGGAGTGGCGAAGTCAGAAATTTTGTTAAGAATATCCAATATTCATATATATATATATGAAAAATAATTTTTGACCGAAATATTTATATTCTATATATATAATATAATTTTTCGACGACTGATGTCCTATTAGCCTAGACTAAGTACCATTACGTGGCCAATTTTGTCCTCGCCACGTGGCAAAACATTGCAGTTTAAAGAAGTACATATCAATTCAATGTATTTAATCTTTCAATTTATATTGATTGAAACAAGTTGGATGGTGGTAGATAGGGTTATTGTGTAACCAACTTTGAAGATTAACCGATAAATGAGTATCTTTTCATGAGAGTTTTGGTTAAAGAATCAATAAAACTTTTTATCGAGTTCTTGAGAATATTCCAATTTTTGGTAGGCATTGAATTTGCTAATACATGCTTATCCATCAAATTTAAAATAATAATTAAATTTCAAGAACAGGACAAGCATAAAGTCAATTGAAAAAATTTGGCAAATTATAGTATTGGGAAGTCTTTAAGGACTTAAGGCAAATAAACAAGAAGTGGAAGATTACAATCAAAGATATCTTTTTTAGAATCATGAGGATATGTAATCTTTCAAAATAAACAAAGAGTTAAATTTTTTAAAAATGGTTTATTGTCAAGTGTCAACTAAGTGAAATGAAGACGAGAAAGGTAATTGAGGATGCAAAACCATAAATAATTATATGTTTATACCAAATCAATTCTAACTTATTATCATGATTAAGTTTATTTAATAAAACAAAGATTTGCATTCATTAATCATCGTTACATGAGAGATCAGATTCCATTTTGATTTGGTTTATGAAATGCCCCAATTCCATATCAAGATCACAATCGTTATTATCTTCACTAGCATCAAGATTGTTATTATCAGAGGAAGAGCCAACTTGGGGCTAGGGGGTTCATCCCAACCCCCTTCAACATAATATTATACTCCCTCTGTCCCAATTTATGTGACACATTTCGGATTTCGAGATTCAAACAAGTTTATCTTTGACCGTAAATTTTTCCTATATTTAAAAATATTTTGAATTATCAATTATTGAGACTTATAGTACTTTTTATGTAGTTTGTACATATATAAATTTCATTTAATTTTTTTTGAAAATTTCACGAGCAAATTCTCGGTCAAACTTAAACTGTTTGACTCTCGAAAAGCAAAATGTGTCACATAAATTGGGACAGAGGGAGTACTATTTATACATAGTTAAAATTATTTTTATAATGTATATATAGTATATGTCGAATTCCCTTCGACTATAGTACGTGTGTTTATTTCTTCCTATATTAAACCTTCTTAGTGAAAATCCTAACTTTGTCACTGCTCATTATCATCAATATCGTCAAGACTATTTCGAAACGCAAGATCATCCCCTTCTAGAAGTAATATGATATATTGCTTTTTCGTGATGCTAAAGTAAGAATCATATATACGTTGAGAGGTTATTTAAACCATTCCAAAACACTGTGACAAAAAGTTGGCCTTTTAGTAAGTGGTTCGTAGCTTCTACATCAAGTGTATGAAAATTTAATTCAATGTGGCAAAGTGTGTTTTGTGAAAAGTGCATCAATCATACCTTCAATTTTCCACAAGTTTCTTATTAGATACCAACTTCTTAACTATTTAAAATGTGTCTTGAACAACTTCTTTTTCTTTTCAACTGTTTATTCTTTTAGTTTTCTTTTACCTTCTATAAGAGACATAGCATATATATATATATATATTTATATTCCATGAAATGGCTTATGCACATGGTGTGCGTATTATTTAAGACACACAATATCAATACCAATGTATTATTTATCTACATAGTAAATAAATAAAGAATATTCGACAAATAGTCATGATATAGACCGTTGTGACTAAACTTGTCACATATTCATAATTTGAATAATCACTAATTGTGCTTTCACAAGCATTGCCGATTGGCTATAGATTTTAAATTTTTATCTTCAAATATATATTTGTTTAGCCATAAATTTTTGGATGAGATTTTAAACATATGTCCTCAAAAAGTTTTCAAGTTTCAAAAACTTATTGAGAGAAATTTAACTTTTAGTCACAAAAGTTCTTTTTTTTTCCAAGTATAATGTACTCCTCCCTCTGTCCCTTTTTACTAGTCCAATTTTGACAAATCAAGAAAAAATAATAATTTTTACATATTATACCATCAATTTCTTTAGAGAGTTAATGTTTTTGAAAAAGATAGAACTTCTTTTCTTTAATGAGTAAGTTGATTTTGTTATTCTATCAATTAATTGGGCTAGAATAGTAAACTCACTATGTCAATTATTATTTTCCTAATAGGTGTGCAAAGTAAGAAATGAACAAGTAAATAGAGACAAAAGGAATATGTCTAAATACAATTTTAAATTCAAAAACATCGCGACTTTAAAAACTCAATTTTTTTAATTTCAAAATCTACAACTAAACAGGAGCTAATTAGTGACAAAATAGGTATAGTTTAGTTTTAAAGTAAAAGCAAGAAAAAAAAAAGATTTTTCTCATCCCTTGGTCCTCATGCGGTATGACGCAGTACTAGTTTTAAAAATTAGCATCTAAATCTAACAATTAATTATTAGACTAGATTACAAATCAACTACCACTAATTAATTACTAATTATTTAATTAATGGTACTCCATTTGCCATGCCATGCTGTCCCATTTATGGAGGCGTGGCTTGTGACTTAGCTAATGATCATGCGAGGTTGGTTTAAACCATTTTTTAAAATACCAATTTAAATAACAGTTACATGAATATTTGGACAAAAATGGGAAGAAAAAGTACTATACAGTATACTGTTTACGGGGCGGAGCTATGATGGTGTCAGTCTTTAGGGTGTCCAGTTCAATATCTTTTGTCAAAAAATTATACTATATATATAATTCAAATTTTACTTTATATTGATATATATATAGTTTGAACACCCTTACAAACAATAGATTCTAATAATGCAGTGGCAATGCGTTGCACAAAACATACAAAGTACCCGGATTTGAATACGCGTGTCCGTGCATTTTATTTTCTAATTGTAGCTTGCTTAAAATTCGTAAGATATTAAAAATGTACAACTTTGATATGAAGTGAGCAGTAGCTCGATGACAATTGAGAATAGAAGTATGCAGGCACGCAAGAACCATAAATTTTGAAGTTGAAATTTAAAAATTTGAGTTCTTGAAATTGTGTTTAGATATGTATTTTACGTACTTTTTTTTTAAAATTTTGTGAAGGAAAGTCCTAAAAATCCAGAAGTTGGTCTGAACTAGTTTTGAAAACTTGAAGATTAGATTTTTAAAATATCTAATTTTAAGATCAAACAAATAAGATTTTTTTTTTTTTTTAAAATATTTGATTCAAAATCTATGCTCAACCACGAGTTAATTTGATTCTCTTGAGGAGAAGGATATTACTTTGATTCCGAACTCTTTGAAATATCTGGATGACAGATGGGCTAGTTATGTTAAACCTCATGAGTCACGTGTGACTTTAGCTTTCAGACAAATTTAAGTTTAAACTTGTCGTGTGGTACTTCTCAAAATTACAGATTCATGTATTTTATTTATTATTTATATTAGTTGTAAAACAAATGAAATTTGCTAGCTGAGCTGTCTCATTACACAGTTTATGTAAAGTTCACTTGCCATGAATTTGAATATACTCCCTTTCTTCAGAAGCAGAAGCATGTCACGTAGAATATATATGTCTATTTATTCAGCCGGCTATTGGTCGGAGATAATAGAAAATCTTTTGAATATTAATTCTTGGTTAATGGATCTGTACACTGAATATTACTGTAACTATTTAGAACAGAGCAAAAATTTACAGCAAGATGATTGTTCTATGAGTTATTCATTATTGCTACTTCTAACTGTAATCCACATCTGATCATCATTCCATCTCCAATTCAATTCTCCTGAATTTGAACTCAAATCTCTTAATCTTTGCAGAGGAGAAGTAACTTCTTGTAAAACTGTAGAATCCATGTTTTTCTGATTCCGCTACTGAATTCCATATGTCTTGATCAAGAATGCTTGTTGGCGACCTCGTCACAAAATTTTGATTTGTTGAAGTAGAATTCAAATTTAATTCTTCAAGAAATGGATGTTTGAGGAGCTCTTTAGCTGTCCATCTTTCTCTTGGATCTCTTATCAAGCATTTGCTTAAGAAATCCCTTGCTTGTAAAGAGAGAAATTTTGGGATTTCAGGGGATTGCCCAGAAAATGCAATTTTGTAAAGTAATGAAGCTGAGTTTGTCACATTAGTCCATGGTGATCCACCAGTGGCCATTTCAATAATTGTACATCCCAATCCCCAAATATCTGCTGGACACCCCTGTTCTTCCCCACGCGCCACCTCTGGTGCCATGAACATCGGCGTTCCTCCAATTGGGTTTGCACCACCGTCCCTGTTCACCGGATCAACCCACCTGGAACAACCAAAATCT